AAAACAAGGAACAATCATTGGTTAGGTGTGAAGAAGTAGAAGCAAACCATGATTAATTTATRCACATTCTGCTGATATACGTATCTCCTTTCCCCTTCTTCATTCTTTCTATATCTGACTGTGATGTAGTCACTGCTTAGACTGGAACTTTTTGAGAAAACCCAGAATACTGGGAAAGGTGCATTAATGACTCAGTACGTTKTGCTTTCACCTCTGATTCAGCGCCTTAACGTAGTAGTAAAGGGCTCTGCTCTGGTTTTAATGCCATCCCTCCAAAGCGATGTCTGTCTGAAAATAAGAATGCTAATCAGCTCTAGCCTCTAAGGGAACTCATGGCACACAGTGGAAAAGGAAGTGAAGTTAGTCCAGTGGTAAAATTCTTATGTGTGCTTTTGTTCACCTCAAACCTCTGAAACATGAGTGTGTGTAAGATTCTTCATTTGTCACAAACAAATGTGGGCAGCATTCCTGTGTACTTTATATTTAAATATTGTTTTGTAAAAACTCAGTTGAAATTCTGCGTGATTATATTCCTTGCTTGTAATGTCCAGAGTAATTAAAGATGTTTCAGTCCGAACTTTCCTCTATAAATATGATTCAGTAGTACAGTGCACAATTTSAAAAACATACAGTAATTTTATTTTACTTGAAATGCTTTGGGAGTTTTCAAGTTCAGTTTCTGGTTGCTCATAAGACGAGAGCTCAGTATCCTTTGCACCATTTATACTCAAAGCTGAGCAGAATTTGTCGTGTAAGCAAGGAGGAGTCTGTTGAGTAGTATCTTATATTGGGTTTTTCAGGTCAGTGTTTTCAAATTACGTCAAAAGTAGTAAACGGCTTTGCAAAACATTTTATGTAACGATTCTGGAAGCCCATGTGACATTTTTTCTAATTAACTTATTTAGCCTAGTTTTGGAGTAACATTAGATGTTTCATCACTTTTAGGCTATTTTGGGTATTCTTTGTGACACCATGAATAAGCCAAGAATTTATAGGATTTCTTAATCATACAGATTACTCATCACTGCCTGCTCATAACAGAAGCCTGAAATGCTCATTAAAATTGTCTGATGTGAATCAAAAGTTAGTATAGTTGCAGAATTAAATTATGAGAGAATACCATTATATTAGCAAAAAAAAAGMACCCATTTCAGGAATACTGGTTTCAGTGAAAGTGAAAACTGCAGGCTTTTATATGGATCAGTACTCTGAATATGTTTAATGTGGAAAATAAAAATTGGCTTCTGAAGCAGCAAATTGGTCTGGAATGATTGGCAATAATGCCTAAAATGAAGTATGGTGAAGGGTTTGTTTGTATTGAGCTACAGGAGCTTGCTGCATATTCTTGCTTAGTCTGTTTTTGCCTATTTTTAAAATTCACTAGCTATAAATCRCTCTTTCAACTTGATCCTTTGCCCTTTGCCTTGTACCTTTCCATCAAAACAATAAAAAAGGTCATCTCCRTGTCTTCCACAAGCTGTTTGATTTCCACAGACAGTTGTTATGCCATGCTGCTTGAAACACTGAGACTGAAATTCTCGTCTCACCAATCCTGTTTTTTCACCAGTGAAATTATGATGCTTCCACTGGAGTTGCATTTTGATGCCAACATAAAAGAGAGAAGAATCAAGTCATGATCTGGCCACTGTTAAAACAATAATATTTATGATTGAACATACTTCTTGAATATGAACTCTGAGCACTGCTATTAGGAGATGTGTGCTGGAATCACAAAGATTGTTAATCTTTGCCTAAAAATATATTAACTTTTTGTGGAAGCAAATTCTATTTAGAATAAGCTAAATCTTTTTAAAAACAGCCTAAGGAAGAGAAATGAATTGAGACTTGATGCCATATTCATATTGCAGAATTTAAATCAGGAGACAGTGTGAGCTGGTGGATTAAGCTGATCCCTATTCTTGGTTGTGCCACCAGCTTCTTGACTGACCCAAGTCATGAAAAGGCAAAATGCCTTGACTAAGTTCCACACCYGCAAAACAGGAATAATGATGTTGTTCTGCTTTTTAAGGTGTAGTGAGATGAAAGGAGCTATACAAGATCTGCTATTTGTACTTATTACCAATGCTGTGTGAAACATCCCTCGTTACTGATAGGCACATWATTTTAGATGCGTGTCTGCAGTACCCTGGCAGTGGCTGAAGAGGAGCTTCCTCATTTGAGTTTTATGGCCTCATTCTCTGGTCCACAACAGTCTCTGCTTTGGCTTCCAGTGGTAAAAATGGTGATAAATTACAAATGTTACCATTAAGGAACATTGTTTATCTATTACTATTTTTTGATACTCTTTGCTGTTACACCTTTTTGCCTGAAAGCATACTATTACTGTTTGTTGTAAACAATTTCCTGGATGCTGCTGTGGGCAAACAGCTTAACCTTAGCTCTATTAGGAGCTTACCAATGCTTTGCATRCATATATAAGGCAGCTATAAGTATMRTTTTAAAAAGTTMATGTATTTTTATTGAAAATGGTTTAAACATTTCCCAACAAAATGTTCCTGGCTCTGCRTCTCTGGAAATGAGTGCCATGAGCTGTATGTGTGACTCTCCTGGGGTTTTATCTGTGGCCACCCACACAGAAGAAAGCCGGTGACTACACTATCCTCACACTAAAATCTGGGGTGCTGTGTTAGTGAGTGTCTCTGTTAGTGAGTCTGCATCCCTACCTGTATCTCTCTGGAAACTTTAGCTGCTAATGAAGCACAGACCTGTAACAACCCTTTCAAAGCCAAAATCTTAATTTCTGGGAGTTTGGGACTTGTTTGACTTTGCTAGTTTCATTTTAGGTTTTGTTGACTTTCTAACGATCTTAAACCTTTGGACTGATGAATGCTGGAATTGAAAATTAGAAGGAGAAAAAAATGTTTGCTTTTTCCTGAGAATTTTCAGTAAATTAGACTGTRCTCTGTCATTAGTTCTGTGAGATTCTGCAAACACCCATATGCCCCAGAAGGTGCAGCATAAGCTCAGAAAGTAATATACACATATTCTTCATATTCTTTCRAAAAACAATCTGTAGTTATTGCCTACTGCAGAAGCATAGACTCATAGAACATTCAGGGTTGAAAGGAATTTTAAAGATCATGCAGTTCCAACCTCTTCTGCCATGATCAGGGACACTTCCCATTAGACCCAGTCTGCTCTAGGCCTTAACCAACCTGGYCTTGAACACTGCCAGTGTTRGGGCATCCACAACCTCCCTGRGCAATCTCTTCCAKTGTCTCACCACCCTCACAGTGCATAATTTCTTCCTAATAKCTAACCTTTTATTCTGTATTGGAAGACTGGCAGTTTTCGAAGAGTCACACAATGGTTGAAATTGGAAGGGACCACAATGGCTCATCTGCTCCAACCCCCTGCTCAAGGGTTATCCTAGAGCACATGGCACAGGATTGCATGCAGGCAGTTCTTGGATATCTCCATYGAGAGACTCTCTGGGCTCAGTCACCTGCAAAGTAAAGCTTTTCCTTGTATTCATATGGAACTTTCTGTGCATCAGTTTCTGCCCATGCCTCTTGTTCTATTGCTCAGCATCCCCGAGCAGAGCCTGGCTCTGTGCTCTGACAACTCCCTTCAGGAACTGACAGACATTGATGAGGTCCCTTCTCAGTTGTGTCTTCTCAAGGCTGAACAGGTTCAGCTCCCTCAGCCTTTCCTCAAACATGAAGTGYTCCAGTCCCTCCATCATCTTTGTTGCCCTCAGCTGGACCTGCACCAGCGGCTCCATGTCTCTTGTACTGAGGAGCCCAGAACTCAGTTTTTGAATTTTGAAGCTGCTGTGAGATTTATTGGTAAAAYGATGATATAAATTGACAAACAGAGCTGAAGTTAATCTCTTCATCATTAGGGTGGATTTCTTCTGCATTCTTTCAGACTCCCATTCCCCATGCTCCCTCTCTGTCCTGCAGACTTCTGGAAACTTATCTGAGGTARCCATTGTTGACTGAACAGTTTGTTAGTACATCATAAAATGCCTTTCCTCTCCATGTTGTGAACTTCTTTGTAGCATAAAGGACTTTACAGTTACATTTTTTTTGTCCTTGTGCCTGGAATGCATGGCTTGAGAAGGCAGAAATTTTAGTTGTCTGAGTGTTGGAAAGGCATCTTTGTGTTGCATATTTTAATAGAAATCACAAAAGTCAGGAACTCTTTTCACTCTGAGAAACATTCCACATAGACTCAGTGGTGTCTTTTATTCCTTTCAACTTTTATWAGAGATAGCAAAACATCTGGTAGGGTTAACAAAACTGCAGTTTTATTTTGGTTTTTTTTTCAAAATGGAAATGAAACTAGAATATACTCCTGATGGCTTTTGGCTTGTATTAGTGCATCTGTTTCTGAGCACCCATCCRCAGAGGGATGTAAATGTAATTGGTCTGCATTCAAGGAAAGAACAAAATGCTGAGAAGTTGTAAAGCTTGATTTGTAAGAGAAAAACTGAAAAAAGAAAAATGTTAAATATGTACAGTGTGCCTGTGTGACAGCAGTGGAGAGGCAGGTTTTGGTAACAATTACGATTCTGAGGAGTGTGAACACCAACAGAGTGAAAAATTACTTAGGGATAGTTTAAGAAGGTATAATTAGAGGTGATGGAATTACGTGAGCTATATATAAACTTGAGCCTAATGTTACAGTAAARAAATGAAGTGTGAGACCTGAAGATATATTTTTTATCTGTATTGGGTTAGCACCTGGGAATCCCAGTCAGGGATCAGGTGCTTCTTCTGTAGAAACATGAAACATGAGCAAAAAGAAATTRATTTCCCTTGCTGAGGGGACAAGAAACTTGACTGGGTGACATATAAGGAATAAACTTAAACTAGTGACATGTGGAGTAGAACCKTATGAAGTCTTTCAAGGATTTTTTGGTCTGTTGGCTGACTGTTGAGCAATTGAGGATTATAACAATATAATTCTTATTTTGAAGATACTTGTTATCTTCAGTCACTAATGTRTGTAAATATTGCTTTAAATTGGAATAGCCTTACTACTCGATTGCCAAAAGCTGGAGAAACTGTCCTTGGACATAAGTTTTTCGTTGGTTTTGGTGGGAAAGGAGCCAACCAGTGTGTCCAGTCTGCTCGACTTGGGGCCAAGACCTCGCTGATTTGCAAGGTAAGCTCTTCAATTACAGCTGAACTGAGCATTCATGCAAATTCCAGTAAACCTTTCGGTCACTTACWGTAAAGCTCTTGGTGTGTTTTTAGCTTCTTTTAATCCCTCTATAATTCTCTTTTCTAATTCTTATTTCAGCTGTAAATTTAAGCATGGAGGAGGCTGTTTAAGAACACTGCCAGAACCAAAGACTAGTTGGCTGCAGATCTGACAGAAATTGCATGTAGAGAAGGATTGCAAAACTTAGGTTGATATACCATGGAAAAGAGAATTGGAAGAGTTAGAGATGTTYGAAATTTAAGAAATCTTGATTAGGCCTCCTCTTTATGTTCCCCACTGTTACAGCAGTCAGCACTTCATTGATGGTGTTCAGKTGCTAGGAGCTATGGTCACTCTGAAATTTGCTTTGTAAATGGTTAAAAATCAGACACTGACAAGCCAGTGACAAATTTGAGAAGGAATGTAAAGCTTAGTGCTTTGAGGATTGAATCATTRTCTCATTACTTGAGATTAAAATAAGGTGTTCTTGCCCAAATTCTAGCACCTTATTKTGCTCTGGGATATTTGTGCCTACTTTTCTGAAACATTTGATATACTGCAGTTCTAAAGAATTGCTCACAGACCATTGGGCTGATTGCACTTGGCAGATGCTATATTCTTAAAGTGCTTTTCTTTGATTTTTGTCATTAAACATTATAAGTTTTGAGTGATCATTACTACGGTTAAGATCAAATTTTCTCCCTCTGTAGCCTTATTGTCTATCCTTTGCTAACTCTAGATGAAACTTCAAATTGACTGGACATACTTTGTTTTTTGCCATAGCTGGGGAGGATACTAAATTTGCTGGATCATTGTCTGTGAGGGATTTTTTGAGAAGTACTGGAAACATCTCAAGGAAATAGAGAAAAAATAGTTTTTTTCAATGCAATATTTAAACAAACAGTGTTAGCTATAAATTACACCTGAAAGCATTTCTGTGGGTTATTATCACTGGTTGTTCTACATTAGTGTAGCTTTTTTTTATATTGGCARTGTTTGCACTTCTGTCATATTGTGTATATTTGATCGTCTTTGCATTCAAGAATGATCAGATTCAAGTACAAGATGAACTGGCAGTGAATTCCCTTCTAACATTTCCTGCTAAATGTTAAAGGGTTTTTTTTCTGTTTCAAGTGTGAATTTTGCTCTTATTTTTTAAAATGGTCCGGCCTTTGCTTAGTGCAATGGAAACATACGCATTCAAAATAAAATTTAGTAGCTACTGTACTTTCTAATTACTTTTCAAGAACATGTTTCTGTTATTTCAGTAAAATTTGGTCTTGTCTGACTTTCTTTCTTTCTTTGTTTCTTTCTTTGTTTCTTTGGTTCTTTCTTTCTTGCTTGCTTTCTTGCTTTCTTTCTTTCTTTCTTTCTTTCTTTCTTTCTTGCTTTCTTGCTTTCTTGCTTTCTTTCTTTCTTTCTTGCTTTCTTTCTTTCTCTATCTCTCTCTCGTTCTCTTGTTCTCCTTTCTGTTGTGTATTCGTTGGAGAAAATGTTAGCATTTTCTTATTTTTTTAAAAAATTTTGAAAGTTAATGTTTAGTTTTTAAAAATTGTACTTTGTAGCCTGAAAAATAATATCTCATGGAAGTCTCATATACAGTCTTATATCTGCACAGGTCAATGAGATACAGTATAAAGTTTGTTGCTAAATAAATGAAGAAGAATCTGGCAATAATGARCTTGTACAATTATTTTTAGTGCAACAAGTAATTTAAATTTTTGGTAGTTCTTTAAGCTGTATTGCCCCTCACACACATACTCTGTGCTTCTGTTTTGGTCATATTTCCCAACATGTTTTATCCAGTATGGGTGCAACAATTGCTTCTACAATCTGAAGTTCAGAAAATGGGATCAGTGTTAACACTAAAGAGACATTCTGCTGGAGTGTGGCATCCTCTTAGTGGCAGTGTTATTTASATAGAGGGTGTCCTCAACAAGAGTAGAGGTAGACATCTCTGATCAGGTGACAAGGCTTTTTTCATACCTCAGAGCTTTAAAACACAAGAGCCAGTRATTGGTGAGGGATGCACAAAATGTCAGTGATTGAGAGAGTATTATAATGACTTACACTTATGACTAGATATGCCACAGAATGCTGGGGAATTCAATGAAAAAAAAATTGTAAAAAAAGTTTAAAAATTGAGTTTGAGTAGTTTGCATTTGGAAATGCAAACAATGTTCTGATTCCTGCCTGGATGTCTCTGCTAATGGCCACTGTTACTCTTAGTTACTGATGTGTGCCACAGTAGCAGTCAATTTGCTCTGTACTATAAAAATGTAGTGATGGAATAGTTACAGAGAAATGTGAAGGATTTCTTTCAGGGTACTAAAGGATCTAAGCAAATAAATTAATTGCTCTTGTTCATACAAGAACACTGTTGCAGTGCTGAAAAATTAACATTGTTCTTGAGAGATTACAGACTCCCCAAACTATTTTCTTTCTTTTTGTCATGATCAATCAAAAAAAAAATCTGTTAAACATTTTTGATTAAGATGGTGGTGGGATGTTGGTCTGAAAGTCATTGTATGTGCTGAAAAAGGTCCTGCTTTACTTCTGATAAACAATTTGGAACGATCTTCTGTGGACATTGCTGATATTGCATATACTAAGTTCTGTTTAAGCCAAGGCTATATTTTATTCCTACCTAGAAATGGGAGTGTTGTGTTACCATGTTGTATAGTCTTTTTTTTTTTTTTTTTTTTTTGCAACAATCTGCAAGCCAGATTAAAGTGTTGCAAGCAAAATGCTCTCTTGGAATTGTATGAATATGTCTTACCTCAGATGCAGCCAGAATGAGATGGATATCTTCAATTGTTTTTTCCTTTTGTATTGCTGCCTTAAGCTTGTCTTTAGTACCTGTTTAATTCCCTAATGGCAAAAAAAGAGTAAACACTCTAAATAAGAAAGAACGTATAGAATAAACAAAAATTGTTAAGAGGTATATGCTTTTTGTTGTAAGTAATTTCCATGTMCAAATGAGTGATTCCTAAGCTGCTAGAATTCTAGCTGCTATGATGCCAGCCAACTCCCTAGCTCCATGTGGAAAACATGATCATAAGCAGGGAAAACAYGGACTGAAAAATACTGATGCAATTCCACTTATTCTGATATGCAAACTGTGGGACAATAATGCTTGTACAAATGGCTTTTGTTGTTAAGAACTMAAGAAAGAAGAAATGCTATTTCAGCACATAACAGTGTTCTGTGGTCAGCAGACTAAGACATTTATTTTCCTGTTTATCCAGTAGTCCAWCTAGCAGAGTCTGTGCAAAAGCAGAAAATATTTAAAACAATATTATATAATTTGACATGGTCAGTAAATATGCCTTTACTCTGAAGAGTCTGATGCCCAATTCTCTTGTCTTCCTTGGGGGCAAAGCCTGAATGGAAAGATAAAGTCCTTCAAATGCACTAGGATTAACTGGGTTGGATGCTGATGAGCTAACATAGAAAAAAGTTTCCAGAGGAAAACGACCTCCTTGGACACCCCTTAGAGGGCTTCCCTCCAGCAYTTAGTTGTCTTATTGCGAGCAAAAGTACCATGGCTGCTCTCAGCTGTTCTGACAATTCAAAAGTAAGGGATGCCTGTCAGTCAATCATGTAGGAGCCAGAGCTGAAGGAAGGAATTTCAGYTGAGCTTTTGGAAGAGAGTTATGAAATATTTTGTTGCTGAATTAACTGAACAAATCCTGAGATTTGTTGTAGAAGATTTATGGTAGCGAGGGAGGGAGAAGGTGATACCATCAGACGGAATGTGTTCCAGAATAAGGTTGTTAGACTGCAGAGGTGAGCACAACTCAGGTTTAAATTGCAGATGGCTGCAGTCATCCAGCCTAAAGTAGTTAGAAGATGCAGCTTCTGACAACCTGYCCTGTCTGGCAAACTGGGAGTAGTCAGAAATACTCTAATATACAAACAATGAATAACACAGACCCAAGAAAATGTTGGTTTGCTTGGGGTTTTTTTCCATGCACTAGAGGAATRTTCCATCTGGTTAGACTATTCTGACCTAAATTGCTGTCATCCTTTGCTAAAAGACTGGGACTATCCATAATAGTGCTTTAGGAAAAAAAAAACCACCTTATAGAAGTTTCAAATCATGGTTGTGCAATCAAATAYTGAGGGGAAGGTTCGTCCATCTGTGATGATCCATCTTTAAATTCTAGAATTCTGAATCATAGTGTTATATTCTTGTGATCACTAGCTGGTTCTCAGGCCTTCTCCAAACGTTCTGAAAGACTGAGCTCACAAACAGACAAATTTCTAACAGCYAGTAGAGGCAGCTTCTTTGTGCTTATAGTAATTCAAGTGCACCATTAACTATGTGGTGCTGTTTTGTGAGAAGATGGATGATTGGTTACTGCTTCTCTAGACCCATAGCCAGGGTCTCGATTTGTCTTCTAATCTGAAAGATGTTTCTTTTCTCCTCTTGGAAAAATACTTCCTGTAGCATTAGTTAGTCTTTGATACTGCTCAGATAYACAACTCTTGGAATTGAGAGCACATTCTATGCATGCTGAAGACAGGCTAAAAGTGGTGAATCAAAAGCTTTGTTTGCCTTATAAATATATTTAATATTCTGGCATGATATTAAGCRAGTTAAACTATTTTTTTCCTCCATATACCTCATCTCTTTTGTTCAGCTTGTGTAATTAACAAAAAGAAATTTATATTAGTCTGAATAAACAGCAAGCAGAATTGTTTTCAGATAAAAGATTAATGGAACTGAAATTACAGGCTTTTAAAGTTGCTGTTAGAAAAACAATAGACCATAGCTTGACTCCCTAACTCAACTTGATCTGCTGTTGCTGGATAATGCAAACAACAAATGCTGACTTTCTAAACAGTACATTTAGTACTGAGAATTGTGGAAATTGGTAATGCGTGGTTTATCATCACTTTCTATCCCATAGACAGAGTTTGGTATTTTACCACCAAGGAAACTTAGGTAGAAAATTCACAATGCAAACTGCGATTAAGAAGGATACCAGAATTGCTTTCARTTCAAAGCTGAATAATTCAGTGTGTGCCCAGATTTTAAAATTTCCAGAAGTTTCAGTGTCAAAAGAGCACAGGAATTGTACAAGGATGAAACTTGAATATAGCAAAATGGGTGTTTGTAAAAGAGGAGGAGAAAACTGCAGAACACTATTCTTAATGTTTACTAATAATATTAATACATTTTTACTGTTATTTTGTATTTGTTATTTGTTGTTTAATAAAGCAAAGGGCTTCAAGACTGAAAGTGTTGTATTGAAATTACATTTGAGCATTATGTTGTCTAAAGATAGTCTATCTGTCTTCTCCCTTTCTGTAAAGAAAACCCATTCTATTATCTTTTGTATAGGTTGGGAAGGATTCCTTTGGCAATGATTATGTTGATAATTTGAAGAAGAATGGTATTTCTACAGGTAAAGTTTTACTTTAAATAAACATTTGGTATTATTTTGAACTTTAAAAACTGGTAGTTTTTAGGAAGATTTATTACTTTTTTGCCTTGTTGGATATGTTTTACCATAACAAACTATGAATAGCTATTTTGRTGCAACTGGGAAGAATGAATGAATGAGAGAGAATATGGGGGCTTCTGAAATCAGCTGTATCACGGAAAATAAAAGTGTAGTGTTATTACCTCTAAACCTCAGATGATTGCATCAGTGCGAATCACCTGAAGATAACTTGCTGTTATGCAATTGTTTAGTCTGGAATTAATTATGATAATGCCTGGTGAGAAATTGAAAAATTCAGTCTGATTATTCATTCTCGTCTTCATGTTGTCAGAGGAGGGATGGAGTGGAAATTCAGTAGTAAATGCAGTATGTTTCACCTTTGTTTTGTGAACCAACCCATGCAGTCATTTTAGAGACTGCAGCTGATGTTACTAACATACACACAAAAATCAATGTTAAAAGGCTTTCAGAAAAAGGGAAAATCAAGCATCCACAATAGTCYATTGTCTTTGCACCTTTGTAAAACCAATTCTCTCTCTACTGTGCACTGCTTAACTACATGATCACATTTTTCTCTGCACAACTCTTGTCTCCTTTGGGGTGGACAAGGATGGACAGATGTAATCTTAAGTGGCAATTCAATATTCTGTTTATCTCTTCTGTTTAATGTGCAGCCACAAGCTTAATCTACTGCATTATTCAAATTCTGCCTTAGAGAGAAAGCTATCAGTATTTTGTAGGCTTTTTTATTATGCTTATCAGTGTAGCATCTAAATATTTCACAAATGTATTTATAAGTTTATTCATTGTGTATCTTTCAACTTAAGCAAGAAACCAAGCAAGGATGCCATAAAAACMGTGTCTTTTAGTGTACAGTTCTGAATGTCGCCAAAGCATGCCTAGCCTGTCTCTTTGGTTGTGTAAATAAAGCAATTATAATGCATAACACTTAATGAAAATGAATATACCACAAAGAACCTTAATGTTTTCTGACTTAAATGATTAATCTTGCAATCTTAACATGAATTTTTAAATAGCCTTTATAGTAGCAAAAGAAAACTGTAGGGAAAAAATTCAGAAATTCCACCATATTGCACTTCATTGATAACTAGGTAGATCAGTTGAAGGGTTGGAATGTTTAGGTCCAAGGTACCAATTTCTGCTGATTGAGTTAAAAATATCTCAGAATGGTGTTTGATTGTCACCTCCTACATTGATCAGCCCTGGAGAAAAATAAGRTATATTGCTGGTGAGGCTGGTCCAGGATCCTGTCTTGTATTCCAAGATTTAGAAACAAGGGTGATTCAGTGTGCTCAGACCCTTTTGCTCAAGATGCTCTTATTTCARTCATGGGCTTTTCATTCCAGTTTAATCCTTTTCTAGCCTATCCTTTTTGTTGTACATAAGGATACTGGGTACTGGATGAAAATCCTTGGTATGATGCCATTTCTGCCAGCTCACTTATCTTGGGTCCTTGTTGTATGTCTTCTTTATGTTGCCCTTCTGTTTCCTCACATATCACCATACCCCTTTTCTTCCCAATTCCAATMTGTTTTGGAATCTGGAATTTTCCCCTTTCCCTGTCTTCTTGTCTTCCACAACCAACCAGCTACCAGTGCTGCTCACACCATTTAGATCTTTATGGATTTGTTGTTTCCTCTCCCACATTTGAACTGGGCACCTTGCTGTTCATGCTGCAAGAGCATTGACAGTACAAACGACACACATCCTCTGCTTTCAACTGCAGCGTGCAGACAGAGTTCGTGGTGAAAAGAAGCGGTAATTGCAAGGGAAGTTCTGCTCTGACCCTGACAAGGGTACCTCCAGGGCGAGTACCTGCAAGACTTTAGCAAAACCAAATGAGCATGATGTAAGGTGTTTTTTCAGCCTTGTTCAAATTGGAGCAGATTGTTAAACTGGCCACAAAGGCATGTCTTGAGAAAGAAGCCTGCTTTTGCYCAGCATCAATTCCATGTTCTAAAATGTTAGAACACCAGAACTCCTTAAACGAAAGGTCACCAGAACTTGTCCCACATGAAATAGATTTTTCTCAAATAGAGTTCTYGGGGAAGAAAAAAGAAACCCTCAACTTTTTGTTTAGTTTTCTGCTGCAGTGCTACTGGTTTTTACTACCAGTTTCCTACCATTGGTTAATATTTGACAAATTTGCTGTAAGCTGAAAACAGGTTCTCACAGTAGTAAACATGGAACAGTCTTTCTAACAGACAGTGCTGCCAGCATCATGTTAATTTCTTTGAATAATAATACAAAGAGGAAATATAACTCCACCACTGCCTTCACAGCACTTGTTAATATTACTGCTGAAATGCAAATCTACATGGAATGAGATGCTGGGTTGTTTTAATATTTTTGCTTTTCTTTAGCCTTGACTCTATTGTTTCACTGGATAAAAGAAATACTTCAAGTAGGAGTAGAGTGCCTCAGAAGGCTGTATAAATAACATGCTTTCTCTAAAGCAGAGATGTAGCCAAATTAAAGAATGTTGGACTCGTATTTCTGTTTTGTGGGTGTAAATTAACACTTTTTGTTGTTGTTAGCTTCTCTGGCATTGTTGCACATGAAAGAGTAATTAGCATTTTTAAATTGCTGGAGGTTATGGGTTCATTTTAGATTTAATTCAATTAAACTGCATCACATGCTATTGGTTGAAAGTAATGCATTGAACTAGCGCATGCTCTAACTTTTCACTTTCTTAGCATTTGTAGGTCAAACTACAGATGCTGCTACTGGAACTGCTTCAATAATTGTCAACAGTGAAGGTACATRTTTCTGCTCTGAATTGTCCCCTTTGTTCTGCCTTTACAGCCATAAAAGAAACCTTTGCCATGTCACTGTTAATTGTGGAAATTTTTTTCCTACATTTTTCATTTTTTTTCATTTTAATCACACTTYGTTGCACTTCTGTTTATTGCAGGCAATGTTGTAGGATTAGGCGCCTAAAACCAGCAGAATCAGATGCTTAAATTAGCAATGTGATAGCCATAATTCAATCAGCCAGCTGATCTATCTAGTTTTGCATTTCCTGAGCACACAGTGTATTAGAAGGTTAAAGCTCTCCTTTTCCACTTACCCAGCAATTTTACATAGAATCATTTAGGTTGAAAAAGACCTTTTAGGATCACAGAGTCCATTCATTAACCCAGCACTGCCAAGTCTTCACTGAACCGTCTACCTAAGTGCCACATCTGCTTGTCTTTTCAATACCCCTAGGGCTGGTGACTCAACCGCTTTCCTTTGCATCCTGTTCCAGTGCTTGACAACCCTTCTAGTGAAGAAATTTTTCCTAATATCCAATCTAAGTCTCACCTGGTATAACTTGAGGCCATTTGGTCTGGGCGTAGAGGGAAGGGTTTGCCTCCTCARGACACCAAGTGAATTGTTCTGCCCTCAGTCAGGAAAAGGAATTGTCCTCAGTATAAGTAGAAATATTTATGTTGATCTTGTAATTTTACCACAAATCTTGATTCCAAGTTACATCTGCAGTGATGAGTACACAGTGAAATGGCGTATTTTTTTCTCCATGTTAATTTTCCTTAGCCTGTGCCTTTACTTTCATTTTGCAGGGGAAGAAATGAAGATTTGGCTTGTTTTCATATTCTTTTTCAAGATTGCTGAACTATCCTCTGAAAACTTTCTATCTTTTCCTCAAGCATAATTTAATCAACCGGTTGATCTACCTAGTTTTATATTGTCCTGAACACAGAGTATGTTAGAAGGTTAAAGCTCTCCTTTCCTACTACAATTTACTCATCACTTTTACTATGGAATTATTTGGGTTAAAAAGACCTTTAGGATCAACCTTTAACCCACCACTGTCAAGGCCACCGATAAACCATATACCTAAGTGCCACATCTGCGTGTCTTTTCAAACTRTTTCCTCAAACTATTGAGAGCCCTTAAAAGGAGTGTCTGAATCAAAACATAGAGCTCAGGACTGATAAAGTTTATGCAAATAACAAATTAAGTGTGATTGGAATCATTCACTTTTGGAGTTGCTAAGAGGCTTCATTTGAACAGTTACCACAGCTTAGCTGACACATCAACAAGCTTCTATGTAACCTGATGGTGGTACATTAGAGTGCAGCTCAAAATGGGAAAGGAAACACAGCTATTCACTCACACAGCAAAACTGGGAAGGAACTGTAACTAAAGGCAAGCCTACACAGGAATATTCAGGAAAATTAGGCAAATTAGTTGGACATGTGAGTTTAATTTTCCCTAAGTAAGATTAATCCAGACCTTGCATGACAGCTCTAATTCAGAAATAAGGTAAAGCTAATACGTTGGAGAACCTGCCTGTTAACTTCCACCTCCTTTTCTTAGTTTGKATCAGCAGGTAGATTACACAGCAACTCTTGACATTTTTTTTTTTATGCTGCCTACAGTCACTAGGGCCTTTGTAAGTAGGAGGGACAGTGGGAATCCAGTAGCACTCCCGGGCATCACCGTTTTATATGTTTTGCACTAGGCTTGCTGTCCAGAGTARTTGAACAAGAACCAGTCTTATTACTTCCCCATTCATATGCATGGCCAGCTAAGATAAACACAGTCTAAACTTAATGAACAGAGGATGACCTGTTAAAATTTTGACACCTTGAATTTTTCTTTAGGATAAGGAACAAAACAATCTTGTGGMTGTAAAACCTTTATAAGCACTGGGAAAGAGAATTGGATTGTTCAGGGCCACAAGGTTCCCAGTGGGCTATCTTCCATGTTAGTGTCAGTGTGAAGGGTATATGACACCCTTGTGATTCACACRGTGACATGAATAATGCATAATGTCATGTAGTTTTTGCCTCTGAGTAACTGAAAAATCTTGTGCTTAGTTAGCACTGGCCTCAAATTTAATTTAAAATCTAGTAGAAGAGCAAACCTGGTCATAACTATGCTCTAAAGCAAACAGATGCACAGAATTGGTAATGGTTCTCGTTGTTACTTCTCTCAAAAACCATCTGGCGCCTGAATTGAGTAAATTGCAGTAAAATAGCAGTACTTATGTGCTTTGCTGTTGCAAGAGACATTTTCTTTTTTTTTCTGTAGAAACCTGGCTGATTTGACCTACACAGGCTTTACAGCCTTTTCAAAGGGCTTGTCTACACATGCATGTTTTACACAGTGGCTGTGCTGGCATAGCTGAAACACAACAGCACTCAATGGACTGATGTAAAGTAGTTTCTGGTAGTTCAAATTATACCTAAAAGGGAAGCATTTGAAACTGGAGTTGGTGATGGTGTTTTGAGTTAAGATGAGGGACAAACAGAAAACATAGCTATCATCTGTTTAAATTGGCAAGTTTTCATTGCTGTATTGTTACACACCTAACCTACCCTTCTTATCAGTTTTTTACAAATTCTGGTACTTGGAAAAAATACCAACTCAAACCAACTGATAAGAATCACAGAGAGAAGTAGGAAATGTGTGAGTGAGAGTGTATGAGACTGTTACGTATGAGAGAAGGCAGAGCAAAAGAAAGCTGTAGAGATCAGAGTCAGAAGTAAATCTTCCCTGATCTTACCTCTTGTCTGTCTACCTGGCACTGCAGAATTTCTAGGAAGGTTTTGTCTGGTTGCTGAATTACACAAATACAACTCACCAACTCTTGTAATTGGCAAAGTGCTAAAAATTTGRAAATTATCAGTCACATTTGATACTCTCAAAGTTGCATTGTATTCTGGGAAAATACAGTATAGTTTCAATAAAAGATAGAGAGGTTAARTCTCTGCTTTAATGCAAAATGGTAGAGACATGTTTAATGAGTTTATAGAGCTGCTACATATCGAGCTACATTGAAAAATGTGTAGCTCAGAGATGCTCTAAAGGTTCCCTCTGGGCTGGTCTCAGAAATCTGTACAGAAGTATTTTTTGGACCTTGTATTCCTTTCAGTTGTTCTCCTTTATTCTACTGCCTTTTCAGAAAGTTTTGATTTGACTAAACACAAGCTTCAGTATACCAAGACTGTACAATTCAGATCTGTACTTTTTCTCTTCAGGATAAAARCTATATCCAGCTGCTTTTTTTAACACATTTTCTTTGAGGTGCATCACACCACTTTGAACCCCAGGTTTTGTTTCCCCTTTCAGCCTGCCTTCTTGCCACTAGGCTCTGTCACTTAGCACACCTTCTGCTAGCAATGTGATATTGGATCGTAAGAGCACCATAAAGTGATGATGTRTATTGTATTTTGTACMCATATATAGGGAGGGGAAACACTCWTTATGGGTAATTKTTTGCATTATTGCAGCTATTGCAGCTTTGTCCATATCTGATACTGACAGTTGGTGGTTGTCATTATGCTGGTATAACTGGACCAGAGGTTTGAACAAGTCAGGCATCTTTCATATTTATATTCATATTCATATTCATAACAAAAATTCAGTGGAGGCACAACAGAGATTGGCAGGTCATGACTAAAGTTCTCTTGATTATTGCAAGTTAGGCCTTAGAGCTCACCTACATGGAACACTCCAAGGTAACCCTCCCTTGAGACAGGCATTTACAATAAAGTTATTAATCATTCATGAACAATGAATAGACATTATTTGGTAAGCTGAGTGTACYTTCAGTGCCAAAGCACTACTAGTAAAACAAACATTCAAAATGTATATTTAGGTAACTCTAAGTAAACAAGGCAAACTTAGAATATGTATGCCAGCTTGTTTGAATTATATGTTACATAGAGGAAAATCTTTGGTTTGAACCTGCAGGTTTRTGAAGAAATGTCAGCTGAATTTTAGAGACTTTCTACATATTGACTTTCAGTCACAAACTTGAATGTTTTTTTGTGCAAGACTCTTCAATACTTCTATCAAGTAGTAGCATAGAAAGTATGATACCATAACACACCCAAAACTTGCCCTCATATTCATGAACTCTGTGATTTGGCAGCACATGTTTTTCTTGTAACATTCTTTTCTGGTCACAAATATAATTTTCTTCTGTATGAATTTTTATGCACAAGCCCTTCAGCTATTGTTGCAATTGCATTGTTTGGTCTGTTCAATATTTTAGTGAATTCTAAGCACTACTGGTGGTTTTTAGGCTTGTTATCCAGTTTTAAAGAGTAATAGTTACTGCACTGCGGTGTTTACTGGTTTGACATTTGATTTTTCCACTGGCACTTTTTATCTGTTATAATCTATAAGATGGCCCTCATAAAAAAAAGTCTGGCTTGAGTCATCCATCTTTCTTAGAAKTGGCAGTAGCAGGTTTAGAAGCCCAACTTAGGACACTATTTATGTATGCAGCATTCATCCTGATTGGACCCAATCCCCATCTGGTGTAAGCTTGTACAAGCTTATCAGTTTCATTTAGCTGTTACAGCTTACAGCAAGTGTGAATGTGGCCCTTAATATTCTAGCTGATGTCTGCAAAACTCCAAGTTATATAGATGTTCCCATCAAAACTGATATTTTTAGTCTAAGAAAAGAGATTTTAGAATTAATGGTGATTCAGGAAATATATTATTCTCATTCTGGTGTGGGGAATGTTTTACCTCACTGGATTAGTTTTAAAAGTTAGATCTAGAGCTTAAGGCTTCACTTAAGGCTAACAGAGGTACATAGACTTTTCTGGACAATAGTTTATCTCCTCCTCAAACAGATATCTAAGATATGTAAGACTAAAAAAACCTCTGAAAATATTTGTCTCTTCTCCTTGTGAAAGAACATAGAAAAACAATTTTTAGAAATCAGTTTTCTTAGACTTTTCTAGTGTGTAGGATTTTTTTTTAAACTTAAAAATTTAGTTCATGTTGGACAAGATGAATCTCACCCCTCTTTGCCATCTGTCTTTAACTCTGTTGTCCCTGATGCTGAATTCCCATCTGATTTCCCTGGCAAGAAATAATTGCTTTCAACAAAATGGTTGCTATTAATACAAAATTTTATATTAATTGTGAATGCATGGGTCCGGTTTCTGCCTTCATGCACCCTGGTGTAAGGYTGAGGTGACTGCTGTCATTCAGTAAGTGTGGTATATGTAGCTAAGAACAGAGTGGGGGGGGTTTTGCCTCCAGCTTGGGTTTAGCCTGTCTGGACTGTTGCACCATAGTAGGTACTGCATTTCCCTGGCAGGTTTGAAAGCAGACTCTGAGTCTCTGACCTTTTGTGGTTACGAAGAAAAGCTTCAGACTGTGATCCAGTCTAGCATGGTCTACCTTGAATTTGCACATATGGGTTTAAGCAAACAACCCTCCTTACTGCCTTGGGCTATTAGCTCTAAAGTCTAATAATAATATACATGCCAGTACAGTGAAATAGTTTAGCAAGATAATGCAGCAAGACATGTGCATGGAGTCCAAGATTCTAGGGAGGACAGAGTCCAGGCAGAAATGAAAGAGACTCTTGTTCCACTGATTCCGKGTCTTTTACTGCTTGCACTTCTGCACCCTAAAGCTTTAAAATTATATGCTTTGCAGAATAGGTGCAATATCTCCTTGAGTATTTCCTCAACAGGATTCAGATATCTTTGGTAACATTTACTCGTTGCAGAAGGTTTTTTGTTTTGTTTTCTTTTGTTTTTTTATCCAAGATGCCCATCATTGTCTGTTGAAAAGCAGGGCGTTGGCTTTAAGTGCTGAGGTTTTGCTTTTCATATGCAGCTGTTCTGTACCAAAGCATTGACAGCAGAATTGCTTTGGAAAGCTTAGGTCCCTCCCTCTGAGATCACTATATTATTCTTTCCATTGTCCTGCTTTCTTTTCAGAAGTATTAAGTGAGAGAAGCTTTGCACGTTTGTAGTCAAAGGACTTTGAAGTCACATTCAACAAAAATAATGGATTTAAAAACATAAATATTTATTTGCAGAGTAATTCAGTTCATTACAGAATTGGTAGCCTTTAATGATTGGCAGTCCTTAAAGGAATCTTCAGCGGGGGCGGGCTGAGCCTGTAAATCAAGGAACAACTGACTTATTGAAGTTAATACCTGAGTGATTAATAATAAATTTTAATTTGAAGGCACCCATGCCTGAAGGTCTCTAAGTGTTGTAACAGAGATTTAAAAAAAAAAAAAAAAGCTACAATAAAAGAAGCTGATTTGTCTGAAGAAAAACAAAAGAATATTTGGAGCCTACGTAAATGAACCTCACCTAACTGTAAAACAAACTACAAAAAATAAAAAGGATCTTAGATGTGTTTTGAGACACTGCTGTGCTTCCACACTCACAGCTTTGCTTAGACCATTCACCTGGCCAGCTCTAAGTGCAGAAGAAGCTGTTGCCCACCTTCTTTACTCTCTTCTGATAAAACTTTCCTCAGACACAGGCATCACCTTTGTGGGCTTTGGTGACAAGCTGGTTCTGGTTTTCATGATGGTTAGGAGCCCTAACTTGAAATGTCTCAGGTAAATGGTGCAAGCCTGCTTCTCTGAAATCTAAAGAACATGCGTAATTTTCTTTGCTGTGTGAAATACTTTTTTGTTCCCAGCTGATGGGAAAATTAAAATTTTTGTGCCATTTTTGGCATATGAATTCAGTAATCACATTGATGCTTTTCTCTTCCAAATGCTACTGGAATATTTTAGGAAGATGTAAAATATCGCCCTCAGTGTGTATMCACCATCTCCACTATGACTAGTACAGTGCTTCTTTAGAGTTCACAGAAAACACCAAAATAAGACCAGTATATTCCCCAATAAAATATGGGAAATGCCCATACATAATTTTCCCCAAAGGAATATATATTGCATTTGTTGTGCAGTGTTAGTTCATTTGTACATTGACCTTTTTGATTATTCTCTGAAATATTTGTGTATTTGAAAATGTCAGCAATGCATCCAATTTTAGTAGGGTTTTTTGGAAAGTAAATCAAAATAATTGAAACGTGAAAAAAATTGTTTTACATACTTTTTTGCCAAAGTTAAAGTAAAAAACACAGTATCTTCTGTTTAGGACAGAATGTTATTGTCATAGTCCCAGGAGCCAACCTGCTTTTAAATTCTGAAGATCTGAAGAGGGCTTCTGATGTCATCTGTAAAGCCAAAGTGGTTGTTTGCCAGCTAGAAATAACCCCTGCTGTTTCTCTTGAAGCTCTGAAGATGGCACGTGCCAGTGGAGGTAATTTAACGTAAGCCATTCTCTTTTTCATCTCTTTCTTTTTTTGTGCTACGTGAAAAATACTCTTTATCATGCTTTCTAAATAAAGATCCTGTAGTCTATTCTGGTTTCTGTCACATTAGTTTTATTTAGAATTGAAATAATAGCCAACAAATTCACGCTATGCTAATGAAAACTGAATTCACTTTTAAAATTTTGCAGTGCTAACCTTGAATAGCAAATCAACTCATACCCTTCTAATCTCCCTGTATATGTCTGGTGCTGCCTTTCCTCCTATTTTCGTGGTGTGACTAAATACAGTATCATATTGGTAGGTCAGGAGCTGTGGGCCTGACTCTGCTATGATTCCAGAGCAGAACAAGCCTAATGAACGCCAGTCAGTAAAGTTACACACACAGTAAAGTGAATGAAATTATCTCAAAACCAGACTAATACCTTTGTTATCCCAGCATAGCAGTAGGTATGGCTGTGGGGTTTTTTTTTTCTATAGTAGTTGACATCCTTAAAATAAATTTTAAAAAGCTTTTTCTTCTTAACCAAAATTCTTAGAATGTGACTGGACATGATGCCATTGAAAAGACAGTCATGGTCTGTGAAATTATTAGAAAATTGTTACTGTACTGTACTTTTACATGTAGGGCATTGTTCCTTCAGTATAGCACGCACGTAGATGAAAGCTGACATTTTGCTTGAACAGGATGGGGTTTCATTACCAACATAATGTTTTTGTTGTTTAAGTGCCTGTAATGCTTTCCGTTACTCAAGCACAATTACCACAGTATTCGAACACTAAGTAAATGATTATGCAAGAGAGGCATCTATATGAGATTAATAAAAATGTTTTTCCCTTCTGTCCAGAAGATYAGACTGGGAGGGACAGTTTATCACGTAGTCAGTCACACAGCAGATCAGGGATGGAACTGGGATCAGAACTAACCTTCTTGAAAATGAACCCGGGCTTGCTCCAGTAGATCACAGCACGCAGGATCGTGGGCTCTCTGTTCACCTTCTGCACCATGATCTTTTGTGCACTGCTTGCACTATATTTTTTTGTTATGTTTTATGAAAATGGATAAAAATATTTTTACTCTAGTGGCTAATGGACTATAGTTGAATTGTGAGTCAATATCCATGACTTATTTTGTCTTTTTCTAACTCTAAGAACAGTTTTGGCAAGATGCTTCACACTTTTGTCAGCCTTCTATGGCAAGATACCAGCCTGTGACAGAAGAAAAGATAGGATTTTTTTTTAAGCAATTGAAAAAATTCAAACCTGATACACAGAACAGACATGCAACCACTTAACAACTGTAGACAGCACAATATATCAAGAAAAGATAGTTTACTCTGGGCCACCTATAGTTGTGTGCTGTCAGTGTGTTATCATTGTGCAGCTCTTCTGTCAGGGAAGTTTGGTTGCTTCTGCTTTAGARCAATAGGCTACACATGTTCAAATGTCATGTGCCATCAAATCTAAGTAAACAGCTGAGTTTGTTGCACTGTAAAAGCCTATCTGTAGCCAACAGTAAATTGTTAATGCAATTTCCCTTCTTTTAGCTCAGCACCCTCATGTATTATGTAGTACTTCATGTTAGAATGTTCAGTTCACTATTTTTGTGTAAAACAGATGCATAGCCAGATGCCTCAAACCTCTGCATCAATGGGGTTTTTTTGCTTGTTTTTCTTCATTCTTCCTGCAAGAAATAAACAAAAAAAGAGAAAGAATATGGAGACACAGGCAAGAACTCTGCTTCTCTTCAGTGGAGGTCATCTGGTTCTGTAAGCTGGAGAGGGACACCTAATGTCTGATATCCTCTCATTGTGGCACTGATTATTCATTATTCCATGTTACTTGCAAGAAATGGATCTATTTTTTGGATGCTTCAAGTTTTTAATCTTGAGCTACAATTTTTCATAACAGCTGTTTTTCTGTGGTTAAACTCTGTGATTTCTGCCAAAGCACTGTGGTTGCAGAAACCAGGCAATGGAAAATGCCTCCCACCCTACCCTAGCTTTTGAATTATGAATACTAGCTACCTTAAAATTTACTTAAGACTTGATAGCAAGGGAGCTTTCTTTTAAAGATAAGCTTTCACAGTGGTATGGAAGCCTGATTTTAACTGTATTATCGGTCTTTGGAAAATAAGTACCTTTCTCATAGACTTCAAAAAAATTGTTAAAAGCTTCACAGTGAGCTTCCCCTGAGCATCTGTCCGTACAGACACTTGTCTATTTGGGCAATATGACTTCCAGTGTAATTCCTGAATCTGGCTGTTGGCAACTTCTTTTATACTGTTAAAGATCTCTTGTAGGCCCAGAGCAGGAAGTTGTTTGATTTCAATACGTAAGAGTCAATGCTGGATGGGAATGCTGGGGATGGAAAGTTGATTTCAGACAAAGGAAACCTGGGAGATATTTACTTAATTTTGGGGGATGGCMGAGGAAGGATGAAAGGAGAAGCTGAAATAGAAATAAAATTTGAGCAGAGATTAGGATTTGTTGAGTAGGGATTGGAATATGGAGGTACAGTCAGGGAGCAGGCTGGAAGTGGGCACAAAAAGTGGGCAAAGACACTATAGGCCATAAAGAGATATGATGTGGTGAAAATTGAGTGAAAAAGGTTAGAATTACATGGTTCCTATGCAAGGAGGTGTAAAGAATAAAAACTCATTGAGGAGAATGGATCTTGAAAAAGGGAGAGAAGTGACAAGCTTGAGGAACAGACTTTTGGGAATCTCATGAGGTTTAACAAAACCAAGTGTGAGATGCTGCACCTGGATGGAGGAACCCTGCTATCAACACAGCCTAGGGATGAACAGATGGAGAGCACCCCTGCTGAGAAGGGATTTTGGGGTGCTGGTGGGTGAGAAGCTGKACATGACCCAGCCATGTGCACTCCCAGCCCAGAAAGCCAAACGTGTCCTGGGCTGCATCCAAAGCAGCGTCGGCAGCAGGGGAGGGAGGGGATTCTGCCCCTCTGCTCCCCTCTGGTGAGACCCCACCTGGAACACTGCATCCACCTCTGGGGACCCAGCACAGGAAGGACATGGACCTGGTGAAGAGAGTCCACAGCCACCAAGATGATTAGAGGGAAGGCATCACTTCTCCTRTCAGGAAAGGCTGAGGGAATTTTGTTTGTTCAGCCTGGACAAGAAAAATCTTAGGGATGACATAATTGCAGCCTTCCAGTACCTGAAGGGAGCCTGCAAGAAAGATGGACACCAACCTTTTACAAAGCATATAGTGACAGGACAAAGGGAAATGGCCATCCAACACAGGCCAATGTCTTCAGTGATTCTGTGAAAGAATTTGGGCAGAAAATAGGTTCCTTAGGAGGACCAAAGATTATCCTGTTTAAAAGCCATGCTGTCTTTCACAGCCTGAAAGAAGATCTTAGTGTTCGTTTATCTCCCCGTGTGCTCAGCAGATAGTAAATATGGGAGAAAACTAATAGTACTGTATTACACTGCATTTGTGAAGAGTCTGTATTACTTAAAACCCAAGTTGGAACATTTCCAGTGCTGCTCTTGACCCATGTGTGTGTGTCAGTGTGATACCACATGACTGTTTTCCAGTATGTCTTGTTTGTTTGTTTTACCTAGGAAAGTATAACTTAAAGTTTTATGTTTAAGAAAATTCATTAGGGTTGCAGTTCAGAAAATAGGAAATGCAAGAGTTAAGGTTGCCTGTGAAACCTTAATTTGTCTCCTTTCTGCATATGTATTATGTTGCAGTCTTTAATTATGTGATCACATGCTGTTTTTCAGTGGTATGTGATCATATAATTAAAGAATTTATTACAATAYATACTGTATTGTAATACTATAAGGGAGCCAAATTAAGATTTCATTRCAATTCCTAACCCTGGCATTTTCTGACTTCTGAGTAAAAGTCTTTGTCACTTTAATACTACTTTTTAATGAGGCAGATAGAGGCATGATAAAGCTGTTCAGCCCCTAAACTTTCAAAGCGTTAATCACTTAACTTCCAAAGTTCTTGGTACTCAGATTTCAGAAGTCTCTGTGCATCTTTGTCTGTTAGGGCATTAACTGGGATTCAGAGATGTTCAGGGTGTCTAACTATTATGTGCTGTAGCTTACAGTCTAAATATGTGTTTAGGACTGAAAATAATGGCATCCAAATTGGAAGATTTGATCACTGACTATAAGGAATCTTTCTGAAGTAAGAGTGTGTGCTTTATTTAAAAATGATRGCCTTGTGGTTAAGACACAAGTATTAATCATAGAATTGGCAAAGTGAAAAACTAAGGCTGCAGACTTCCTGTGTTAATAGTGGGTAAGTCACACTGTCCTCATGACAAACCTTTTCTGCTGCTACAAGGGGCCTTAGGCTACTACAGTTTAAAGTTAGGTTAACTAATGTATTCTACCATGTGTTAAGTTTAGGTCTAGCTCTGCCAGATAGCATATTAAAAATATACAATGCCTTGTCTACATTAGTTTTATAATGTGGCATTTTGAACAAGTTAGGTAACACATTCAGAAGTACATTTAACTCCTTGTCTGGACATGCCCTTCATTACTCCACAACTCGTGATTCTTCATATAGAGAACTCAGCAACACTGAAAAAGTCTAGATCTAAATCAGTTCTTGTAAAGCTTATTGATACTGTGGAAGAAGCATCATCAGTTAAACAAATTGCATTCATGCCTAAGGCTTTTTTTTCTTTTCTTTTAGATTGCATAATTTTGTGGCGATTTTTTCTGTTACTCTTCTGTCATGTTCCCATCATGACAGGTGTCTTCACATGAATTAGAATGAAACTTTAATATAATAAACAAAGCTTTTAGCATTTGTATAAGACAAGCATACAGAAACTGAGAGTCATTTCTGTGTTAATAATAAACACTGGGGTCTGTGATTGAAACACAATGGTCTTTCAAGTGATGGTTTATGAATCTAGAACACTAGAGATTTAGATTTTCTTTTTTTTCTTTTTTTTTTCCAGTAAAGACATTGTTTAATCCAGCTCCAGCCCTTCCTGACCTAGATCCACAGTTTTATACCTATTCTGATATCTTCTGCTGCAATGAAACTGAGGTAATGGTTATATGTCATTTTAAAGAAAGARCCTAAAGCAGTAAAATTTCAGAAGGATACTCTTCTTGGAAATGCAGCATAGGTAGCAGGAAAATTGAGCCAGGCTGCTCTTAAGTAGGACTGTTGAAGGTGACAGGTTGATTCCTGGCCTAACCAGCAGAGTATTCKAGAATAAATTTAGATTGCACTCAAAATAAATTAGCTGTTTGCTAATTTGCAAATTGGGTACAGCCTTCCTTACAAGTAGATCACTCAAACACATCCATAAAAGGATGCTTGTTAAATGTTATCACTGAGTGGTAAATATTAAAATAGTTCCTTGTCCTTCTTCTGTGGTCCCTTGATATGATTAGCAGGAATGCATTAGCCATAGTGTTCCGACAGTTTTAAACTCTCTTGCCAGGAGGTGATGCACGCTTGCTGCACTTGATGGTAAATAGTGGCTTCATATGCCTCTTCCTGTCAGTTCTGTTTTCAGTGACTCTTCTATGGCCTTCAACTGTATGTTTTCCTTTTTCTTCTCCACCTGCTTCCCTCTCTTTTCTAATYCGAGTGTTATTTCTCCCAAAGGAAATTGGTTTTGTCACAAGAGACAAATTACCCTCATCTCATAAGACCTTTGTTTGAATTTGCCATTTTTTAGCATTAAGCATGCTGTGTTCCTTCCCTTCACCCTCTCTTTATATAAACAGAAATGTGGGAGAAGTAACCTAGGGGATAGCTACTGTTCCTTGATCAGGGTTAAAGTTATTCCTCAGAAACATGATTGCAATGAACATGGTCCCTTTGGGTGGAGAGGAGGAGAAAGACCTAAGAGAAAAGCATGGCCCTGCTTACTTGTAGCATTTTTTGTCTGATGACAATGTCTGTCAGTGCAAGTTCTTGAAGACTTGATCACCCTCTTTTGAAATACCTGTTAAACCCCATCACAAACTATATCAGAAGTTCTCAATCAATGAGTCTTCTAGTAATTAAGGATCAACCTAAGTAACCCAAAAACCAAAAAAAAATCTGAATTTTATACTGGGATGTTTAGTTATGTGTCTGTCAAGTTCACATACTCCAGAGAATTATGGAATTAGCAAGGTAGGAGATGCCATGGCTCCTCACATCTCTGGATGCCAAAGTTTCCAGGATAACTGGCAGTGATACAATTTGTGGCTCAGACACTTGTGCCCAAGAGTTGTCARAATTCAACTCTATATGATGAAGAGAAGGCTAAGGCAAAGTATTTATTCTTGTTCAGGGGACTCTCAGAACACCAGTATCATGTTTTGATAAATCTGTCAGAAAGCTCTTATGCCTGGACTATTCCTCTGGATTGGCCAGMTGGTGCAATGGCTAACATTTTGGGCTGAGAACATCCATACTCTCCCACTATTTCATAAATGTAATTCATTGTTTGCTTGTTTCATAATGCCACTTGTTATTTTTTTCCCCTGCAAAAATATATCCCCCATATGTTAGAAACAAAACTTTGTTTTTCATTACTTGTCTATTCCTGACTTCCCTCTCTTTGCATCACACATGTTAATGTTTTCCCTTTGTTGTATTTTATTGCTAGGGGACAGTCTTGAAAGAGGCATTCGTTGAGAACTCTAGCTTGCTGGAGCCAGGGGTATTATTATTACCACCACATGGAGAAAAGAAAATTACTTCTATTTAGGGAACAAGAAATACAGGTGTATAATTATAATAGATCCCTGCTCACTCATCTACCCTTTCCTGCAGAGCTGGGGGTACAGTTTGCGTTATTTTCTGCTATTTTCTTTTAAAAGTAATTACCATGTGAAGATAGCTGGGATCACTGTGTGCAAGGTCAGGCACAGAAATCTGCTCAGGTTCTGCTGTTGAGGAGGCTTAATCTCTTCTARATTTATGGAAATGCTAGACATATTGAAGTTCCTGCCAGCCATATCATGGGAGAATAGATCCAAATGTAGGACTCTTACACCATATTCTGAGAACAACAGTGACACATAAATACCCTTGTTTTTAAAAACAACCCTTTGAAACTTTGCAATGAAATTGATTATGTTTAGCACAAATGTAATATTCAATTTGGTTTTATTTCGTTTTCTCTGTGTGTCTGATTTGTATTGAATTGATTTTCAGGGATGAACTATTGCCATTGTTCCTTTCCTTTTGCTGAGAAAAAAGGAAAAATCAAGCATTTGTTTTTCTAATGTCACAACTTTAAAAGTATTTTGTTTAGTAATTTGTTTAGTAATGTTCATWTACCATCTGTTTTCTGTCATGGCTTTCTTTAATTTCAGATTTCTGTAACAAATACACTTGAGAAGTTTGATTTACAGATAGATGTTTACATACCTAGAAATACAGTCACATCTCTGTATGGCACTAAAAAGCAACAAGTAAATTCTACAGATCTTAAAGATAATTCTAATTTTTTTWACTTTATCCATTCAACCAACTACATATGTATTTCTATCATCATCTTAAATTAGGAAGCACCTAAGACTTTGATGATCCTTAACATATACTGGGAAAAGATCTTTTTATCCCGTTTTCCCCCCTTAGTGTTTACTAGTAGTGTTCACACTAGTGTTTCTAGTGTTCACACTTAGAAAAGAGCATATGGATAAGATGGACTTTTTCTCTGAGCCACCATGTTCATTCTTTCTGGATTTAAAAAAAAAAATATTCCCTATGGTCAAATTTATTGAATGTCCTGCTTACAACTGCCTTTCTGAGATGTTCTGTTCCAGCTTCATTGCCTACCCTGATTGGTATTTCTAAGTCTCTAATGGCTTCTCTCTAATCAAAATCCTATTTATGTTCCAGCTTTATCCTTTCTGGAATATTTTATTTTTAATCTGGTATTTTTAGCTACTTCCAGGAAAAAAAATTGTGTATTGCTGCTTTATCTTTACTAAGTCTTTTAAATAGTTAATAAATCACCTTGGGTGAGAAGATTCATTCTTTAGAGCTACCAAGTTCAACTGCTTCTAAAATATTCCTTTTAACACACATGTGTGTTCTAAAACAAGATTATATTTACATGGATTTCTTTTTTTTGTTGCTTGTTTTGCCTTTCTTAGGAATTTATATTTACAAATATTTATCACAATTTTATCATAATGTCCCTCTCTTTCTTGTTCGCCAAGAAATACTTTTAAATTATAATTTCCCGTGGTTTGTAGATAATATGTGAGCAGTTTGTAACACATTTATAAATGTTTTATGTTTGTAATGGAATATTATGTTGCCTATCAAACAGAACTCCAGCCATTTAGTTTAAAACATCTTACAGACAATGCGAAGTGTTTGCATCATTAAAGATAAGAAAAATGGGGTTGTGTACTTGTGATTACGTGAATTATTACTGAGTCAGAAGTTTCTGTTATGTACAGCTCTCAAGGTTGGGATTTTTGATCTGCAATGCCTTTGTCACAGAATAAAAGTTTAAAGATGTCAGCTATAGTGTCGGCCATGGGATGTTGGCTCTCAAACATACAAATATCAAATACATCATCAACACTTTATATATTCCATTCTTTATTAAATGCTTTAGGATTTAATGAAATCACATGTGGTATCTGGTATAACAGCACAGCTTGTTCTTAGGGATTTAACGTTCTAGAGAGAAGCAAACAAAATTACACTATCAGTGARTTATCTACCATTAGTTTGTCTAGAAGGCTCTTCACAAGCTGTGTTTTTCACTCTTGCTTGTTGCAATAACAAGGGGKTTTATGTCTGACATTACTTTCTTTTTATGTGGTTCATGAACAAAAAAAGTCAGAACAAATCTTGCAAGGTTATCAGTTCTTTCTTTGCTTAGCCTGTAGTTCAGTTTTATCTTTTCCCAGAAAGATCAAGCTTGTTGAGACTAGTTTGGTAATTCCCAGATGTAGCACAGCCTAATCCTGAGGTTTGTGCAGGAATGTGCTAGTTCTCCATTCCCTTAATTCTTYTAACGAAAAATAAATGTATCCAATGTCATCCTGGTGAAAACTAATGGTTGTTCTTTTCAGTCATCTATAAATGTTGAAAAAGAGACAACCCTCTTACAAGACAAGCTCTTCGGAATACTTACCATTTTTTTTCCCACGTATTTGTGTGATYCCTTGCTGCAGATGGCTCTAGGCATAACCACAATGTCAATACAGTTCATGTGTTGTTTTTCTTTCTTAGCGTGTGCATGCAGTTACATAGCCCTGCAGGTTAGGAACCAAAATATATTGCACATCAGCAATTTCAATTTGATCCTAAACGTTTTGAAGAACAGCTGCTTCTCTGTTCAAAGAATACTGAGGAGCCCTTCAGGAGAAGAAAATCTCCTGAATGGTTACAGCAAATGATTAAGTTTGACAAGCTAATTTTAATGCAAAATTGGAAACTACTTTCTCCCTAATGTAAAGTGGGTATCAGACTTCTGTTCTAAAGAAGGCCTTGCAAAGATTTAATTAAATGCTAGCAGAATACTTTGGAGCTTTGATAGTAAGAAGCAGTACAAGTTAATTGCTAATTTTGTTAAATAAAGCTCTAAGATGTATTAAAATAGCACAGAAAAATAGATACTTTCCTACTGTTTCCCTTTAAATGTTACTATCTATTACCAGAGGATAGATTATTTTTTGGAAGAAATATTTATATGTCCAAAATCAAGAGACATTATTGACTTTTGCAAGATTCGGAGAATATCAAGTTTATAAAACTTTATCTATAGTCTAGGATAAGGACATTTAAGATACTGCTTATTAATATAGAGAGATTAATACTAAGGAAAATCTTTCTTAAGGAATATTATTTGTATCTGTAAAAGTCAAAACAAAAACAAATCCTTTAGAAATAAAGTATTTCAGAGCATCTCTTGAATTTGCCTCTTCTGTTTTAAGTAATGGAAAAGCTACTATTCTGCCATTAAATAGAAGTTGCCAGCAATTCACAGTATATTTTATTTCCATCTTTGTTTTAAACCCTATTTTATCAGTTGCTGGAAACAATGAATTTTCCCATATTTAGTCTAAAATGAAAGATGTTACTTTTGGGAGGGAAATTAATAGCTTCAGGCCAATTCATTTCAATCAGTTTTTAATTATTCTAGCACGATAAGTATTTCTGCCCGTATGTATATAAAAATTTTATAATTTGAAACAACTGGAACTAGCTTGGCTTGTGGCCTGACCTTGCAATTTCTTATACACTAAATCTGTTATACTACTTCTTGGAGACTGTTCACATGTGTTAGAATTAATGAGACTGAGTTCTTGTTTTGTCATTCTCAAATGAAATCTCCTAAGGTACAGGCCAAGTTTGCAGCCAGCTGACTTACTGTGTTTAAATATTTGAAATTAAAAATATTTTAAATTATCATATGTAGTTTTAGATGCATTAGCCTGAAAATGGTTTCAGTTTCCCTGTTATTATTTATTATTTCTCTTCCAGCAGTACCTGGCAACATTTGCAGAGTTGTTATTGTGCTAGGTGCACAAAACCCAGTCCAAATGATAGACTGCTCATCAAAGAATTAATACTTCTTGTTATTTCACCAGTTTACATTTGCTGAGGATCAGAGGAATGTGGAAGTTAAGAACAGATCTCTGGATGTTCAGCTAGTCCAACACCCCGGTGAAGCATGTCCAGTTTAGGATGGATTGCTCAGGGCTTTGTCCAGTCAAGTTCTGAATCTCCCAAGGTTGGAGACAGCGTGTCCTCTGGGCACGTGTTCCACTGCTTCATCACCCTTGTGGAGAAAAAGATTGTCCTAATATTGGAATTTCCCATGTTCCAGTTTGTGCTTGTTGTCTCTAGCCCCATCCCTGAGCACCTTCAAGAAGGCTCTGGCTTCATGTTCTGTGTACCCACACACTAAATTGCCCTAGACAGCAATTAGATTTCCYCTTAGCCAGGAGTTCTTAGGGCTGAACGAACTTGCTTCTCCCAGCCTCCTCCTGTCTGTCCTGGTCTCTGCTCCTCTGACTGTCTTGATGTCTTCCACTGCAGTGTGCTGTGATGGGTCAGTGTCTCATTTGTGCCAGAGATCCCAAAACCAGATACRATGCTGCAGATTTGGTCTTGCAACAGCCAAGCAGAGGATCCAGAATGTCTCCCTGGAAGTGGCTGCCCCAAATGCACCACAGCTAGGAACAACTGGCAAATGTTCATATGCTAGGATCATTCTCAGTTTTAGCCATTGTAAATTACTACTGCTGTTGAAAGAAGTTAATTGTTTTGGATTGACTTTTGGGGGTAATGTGGGACTGGGGATGGTGTTAATTTTAACACAGATCTACCTTGCAATCCAGTTTGTTTCCAGGCCACACAAATGGCTGTTCTGGCACAAGAGAGTGGGCCATGTGGACAGGAGTGGCAGGAAAAAAGGCAGGGCCATTTTTTTTCCTGTAGCAATTCTGGTTTGTGTCAGCTTACCATGACTAGACTCCACAGTCTAAAGAGAGATGACGATTTAACTAAGATTAGTGAGGACTATGGCCAAGAACCTTCATATCAGTAAAATTAAAAGTGTTAGTTAAATTTTTTTACTGCTCTTGTAAACAAAATTATGAAAATAGTTTGTAGATTAATCATATAATATCCATCATATGTTTATTCTGACAGCAGTTGTGTGGAATGTCGTCTTGCTTTAATACTCAGTTTAAYGGAGTAGTTTTATGAGACTAACTGCAGAAAAAAAAAATTTTCATTTGCTGCTCTTTTGTACAGTACTATGGCAAATGTCCACATTGGGCTTTTAGTATTGTTACTTGATTTTTTCTTTACATAACCATTAGTTATTTCCCTCAATTGTACCACAGTTTGTTTTTTAAATAAGATTCTACTGAAGGGAGGAACTTAAAAACTCACCACAGTATTTAACATCAGTTGACATTTACCGCAATCTCTAATTATTGGCACAGAATCTGTCTGGCTTCTGCTGCTTTTATGGTTCTTCCAGCTTGTTCCAGTGTTTTTTAGTTTTACCATCCTGCTGTAGATGAGCTAGATGATAGTAGTTTGAAGCAGCTGAAGATCTACTTTTATACAGACTCTGTCCAAAATAATTTTGTTYATTGGTATAAGCAGTGTAAAGATGAAAAGAAAGATTTCTACAAAACCTTTCGCATGTCAGTCCCAAAACAATTCTTTCGCTACTCAAGCAAAAAAATTCTGTTGGTTTTAGACACAGGAAGCACAAAGWGGAGTACAGAATGTGCATTTCATTAGGAAGAATATTATATTTAAATACTTCATTTACCTTGCTCATGAGCTTACGGAAGTATAAATACCACATAAATAAACCAATATTAGATTTACTGTTTCTCTACTGAAACCAAATCCACTTTCATCCTGGAGACTTTGCAAGAGAGGTAGAATATTTGGAATTATTGCACCTCATAAAGTAAACTGAAAATTCAGTTTGCCTATTCCATTCAAGGATTTGTGTTAATGCATTTTTATTCCTGTAATGCAGTGTATGAGGTGTTCTGGATACAGGAGTACATAGTTTCTGCTCCAGAGATCTTAAAATTCATGAAGAGATGTGGACTCTTTAGATACTTAAACAGAATGTACATATATGTTTTAATACTGTTTATCATCTATGTGTAGTTACTTCAAAACCATTATTAGTGTATTAATTCCTTGGAAACCTTGCAAGAAGATAAATTCAAAAGGCTTTGTGAGATACTTTTTGAAACAAATTTTTGTACTTGAAAATACTTTTATGACCTTTTAAAAACTGAAATATTTTTATATGCTTAACTAGTTTATACTGCAAGAGTAGTTCAGGCAGCATGGTGACATGCCAAAGAGAAAATGGGATAGATCTGGTTGCCTTCCTGTAGTTTAAGTCTTACTATATTCTTGTCTGGGATCAATGTGGTTAAAAAAAGTAATTTTAAATTGCATGTACATGTTGACCACACCTTGCCTCCGCAGTGGACCACACCTTGCCTCCGCAGTGCAAAGGTTTAACAACCAAGTCCTGCCACCAGGCTCTGCCTCATAGTGTTCAGATCAACAGTGTTTGAAATAATTTGTGCATTTGTCTAAGTAGGGACTGCAGAACTTGGTCACATAAGTTTAAAAATGAAAACCAGTAAGTACTTTGCTAGTGATACTATAAACTCGAGGGAGTGTGTTGGCATAAAGTGGCCCTTGAGAGCCTAAGGGTGGCTTCTCCCGCCGGGGTCAGGCTGAAACTCAGGAAATGACAGTGGTGAGCAAGGCACTGACTCACAGCTGGGGGCGGTTTGCTTGGAGATGGCTGTAGWAGTTCCTGTCCCCAGCTGTCTGCCCGCCCTCTCCTTACTACAGGCATGGCCTGTGCTCCGTGAGAGCAGTTGTTTAATCACTGTAGTTTACAGTTCGGTACATCAAGAACTACGAGCTCTGAATTCAAATTTCAGTCATGCAAAGGAAAGTAGTTGGAAATATTTCAGCAGCTGTTTCCCAAGGAGCTGAGCTGCCCATGCAGCAAAGGTCAGGAGAGTAGCTGCTGAATAGGTTCCAAAGAAAGTTTTCCACTGAAAATAAGCCCAAGGAGTGTGGAAGGTATGCTCAGCTATGAGGCATTTATCTGAAAATGCTTCAAACTGCATTCTTCAAGATCCAGCAGCAACCTTATAATGTAAGGTTATAATACAGGGAGGCTCCCCTTTTCTCAGGCAAGCAGGACAAAATTTGGTAAAGACAGCAAAATGTAATATATCTGTTTACTTACAGTTGAAGGCATACTGTATTATGCAGGAGTACTGCCTGGTATACTATTTGAGAGAAAAGACCATTTCTCTTTCCTTTCTTCCTGTTTCATTCTTGTTCTCTTCCCTGCCAAAAAGAAATGAAATAGTACATGACACTTGACAGTACTATGCCATCAAGAAAATATATGAAGTAGTGAAAATGTTGTTTGATTCTGAAGTCTTCATTGCAGATTTTGGGGAAATTTTGCTCTTAGTTGGGTGGAACTAAGAGATTAATTTTAAGACCCAGCTGGGAGAAGTTTACTTAAACTCACTATCAATTAGAAGAAGTGTTTAACTGTGTTTGCGCAGAGCCAGCACAGTTGACAGAGGCCTATGGATATGGCCATAACACAAATATATAATAATCTTTTAATGGGCYTTTGTCCAAAGAGGACTTCAGATARATTTTAGGTGTTCTCATCCAAAAAAATATGTTAAACTGAACAGAGTGGTCAAAGTTGAGCAATTTTCTTTTCCTGGAAGAGATTTTTCCTTCTGATGTCCCTCTAGCTGAACACTGAGAATTTCTAAAAATATTTTAAAAGTTTCTAACTTAATGATAAATATCCCTCAAGAATACTGACCAAGTTGTCTTGTAGCATTTTTTCACATTAAACTACAAAATGCTTTTGCCAAGACAGTGCCATTGTGTCCATTTCATAGATGAAAAAACTGRGGCATGTGGTAGAAATGGGATTTCACTAAGGATTGTATGCCAGGTGAGTTGTAGAAGCTGGAACAGAACCCACACCTCCTGTGTCTCTCCGCCGAAGCTGCTCTCTGTTAGTCTGCTGTGCCTGAAGTACACACTGATTTCAAGCAAGGAGCAAGACACAGCTGAATATCAGCGTAGGAAGTGGTTTCATGATCATCCTATAATACACATTTTAAAAAGATACTGAATATTGTTTTCAAATGCAACTGTTGTCCAAAAATGAATGCTGTCAGATTGTGATTTTCATTTGCGTGGGTTGTTTTCCAGGCAGAAATTTTAACGGGCATCCCAGTTGGCAACCTGGAAGATGCTGAAAAGGTGGGACGCATGCTGTTAGAAAGAGGGTGTAAGCTCGTAATCGTTACTCTTGGAGCAGAAGGCTGCATGATGATATCAGGAGACGAAACCATTCCAAAGCACGTTCCTGCTGGGAAGGTCAGGGCTGTGGACACTACGGTACGTTTTTGTGGTTTAACTGTCTTGCTTTGGAAAAGACTGCTTAAGCACTAAAGGAAAGCAGTGAGTAATCAGCCAAATCTTTGGGCACTAGCACAAAGGCTCATTTATGATGTGAAATTGATATCTTGCTTCCAGTGCTGTATATATTAAAAGTCAGTTCACCTGARTTTTATAGACTGTATTCTGGATGAGCTAGAATCATTATACATATTAAAGGTGTCCTCGTGTTCCTCCTTTACTGAAATAAATACCTGTCTCTGTAATGTGTAATGCCAGTTGCTTGAGCTGAARTCCTATTTTTTCACCTTTGCCCAGTCATATAATTAATCTTGTCCAGAAGTTGAACACTGTGAGAGAATGGAGATACTACTCACAGTCTGAAACAGAATGTTTGATTCTTCTGACAAAGCATGAATTACTTACTAAATCTAACATAAGGTGATTAAAGACATAATTTTTATGGAATATAGTGAAAAAACCMCAAAAGTTCTTCTTGCTTTATGATGACTATTTTATGATGATATGTAAGGGATGCTTGGTTAGATGCATTTGAATCTTTGACACTAGGGTACTTTTTTTACTTCCTGCTCAGGTCTAAATGGAGAAGACATACTCTGTGAAACCACAAAATACAATACCCCCAGCAAAAGATAGAAACAGGACAGGCAATAGTTAAGATAGCATTGCTGTGAAAACCTTACCACATTGCACATATGGGGCTATTTTGTGTTCCTGGTATTATCTGACATAAATCCAAAATAATTCCAGTGGAGTTACTGAGAGCAGAGAAGGTCATGTTGTATGTACTAACTATACATTTAAATGCCTGTTATAATAACGTCATATTACATATGTTCTGTTACAATAGTTCATTAAAATCCTGGAGATTTTACCATCTGGTACATTCCTTATCTGAATTGCATTAATAATAACTGGTTCTTGTAGCCTGTTTTTTATCCATGGACCTCATACTGATTCACAAAGAGGAAAGGCAACTKCTTAAAGGATGAGAGAACAGAGGCACAGGGAGATGAAATTACCTAGGTCAGTAGCATGCTGTAGCAGAGCTAAGAGTAAAGTCACTTCCTCTCAATCAGAAGATTGCTCATAGGTTTGGACTGTGATATTCTGATACTATGAAAAGCATTGTTTCATTGTTCAGTATAACATTTTTTCTGTATAACTCTGAAATAGAGATAYGTGGCTTTATTTTCCTCTTTTGCCCCTCTGTCATTTAGAAGTATGACCTTGGGTTAGTGCTGGTTTTGGAATGTCTTAAATTTTTAGTTAGGGGAAGGAGGCATCACTGCACTGTACATAAGGTTCCTGGTAGCGTACTACAGGTGCCAAATTGCCTCTGCTTGCTCTTAGCCCAGAATTAAAAGTGCCAAGGAATTGWAAGGCACAGCTCCCAAAGCTGCCCAGAAGGATTTATTAGCCTGGGAGCAACACCTTGTGAACTTGGCAGTACGGTTTCTTGCTGAGTTGGTAAATCCACTACTGCTATCAGAGCTTACTGTCACAGCTTTTTTCTGTATTACACAGAAATGATATTGTTGAAGTGAAGTTGAAGAAATATGTGTGATCTGTTTCTTCAAAAGACAAAAATTGCTTCCAGATCAGCTATTGTTTGGTATCTTAAAGATAAAGATTTGCTGCTCTTGGAATAAAACAGCAGTACTGAAACCACACACTGTGGATGAAAAATGCTTTTTATCTTGCCTAGCAGTTCCGAGTTTCATGTCTGAACCAATGTAATGCTCCTTTTAAAAAAACTCTTTGTATTTTAAATAAAAGCATTTTCTTKGAGTTTACTAAATCCTTGCCCTGCCTCCTTGTGGCCAACAGGTTATTGGCTTCCACATAGCAGAGGATTTTCACAGTTAATTTTGTTAATCTATTTAAATACCAGTGGGTTGTTTTCAGTAAAACAGCTGTGCTCRGTTTATTCTTGCAGCCTAAATGAAAAAATATGTGTTGGCCTTCCATTATAAAAGTCTTGTCGTGCTTAGCCTGATTATCACTTTGCCTGAAAGCAAGTGGTTTTAAAGCAACCCTTACAATAACTAAGCAAAATAATGTCATACTCAGCTAAYCTGGATTGCTCTATTATTAAAATAAGCATTAAACATTCTAGTAGGATGTGTTACTTTGTTCAAACGATGTCCACAGTACATCCTTCCCCATGGGAAGGGTCAAGCTGTGAGGTGGCTTACTACCCACAGGGTATTCAGAATGGTTCATGGGTATGCTCTTAGCATGCCATTTGATACTAAAAAAAAAGTTGCTACCTCAAACTGTCCTGACTTCAGCATCTCAGGGACCAGGCACAATTATATCCAGTTACATGCCTGTATTCATATTGATATTGTTTAGATCTGCAGAAGGTAAAGTTACTGCCAGACAATGAGTTAAATGACGTGTGTACCCTATCACAGAATTTGCAAAAGGCTGCAGAGTCCTTATTAAAAAACAGAGTTTGCCATTTAAAAGATACACATGTAAGATACAAAATYAGCTGCAAAGTCGCCTTTCACTGTAGAAATTTTCCATAGCTGCTTCCACTGCCCAGAGTCCTCTCTGCAGWGCTGCAACTTCAGTACTGACTCCTGGTAATTTCCGTTGTCCACAGCAATTTTAGGAATTTTTGAACAACAAAACACTTGGGTAGGTACAGCCATAAAGTGAGAATTTGACTTCCTTGTCCCAGTTTGTGTGCTCYCTGTTCTCCATGTTCATAGGTTCATCAGAGACACTAAGGTTTGATAGACTGTGGAGCCTGGTTCTTCATCCTAACTCTTGAGGTGGTWAATCTAAGCATTTATTGGCAGAACACTGGGAAAAGCTGGCTCCATYTTCCATGCTGTGGTGGAACATGAATCTGGCATTTTTCACCCACACTAAATCAATACTATAAAGGGGGAAAAAAGGCCTGTTGGCTCTTTTTTTTTAGCGCTAATTATCTTAGTGTGGGCTTTGGTAATGTATGCAATACTTCTGGTGACTGTTAGCAGAGCTCTCCATGCACAGTCCAAAACATGTAGAGCACGAATAGCTGTTCAGAGGGATGTTTTGCAAGACATGGTATTGTAAAGCTGAAACATCTGTTTCTCCTGTTATAGTTRAACTAGTGCAATAAGCTTTTGTTAAGAAAATTAACTTTCCCCTCATTTTACTAGTTTCTGCTCTCTACTTTCTCTGTGCAAATTTTGAATAAACAGGAAAACAAGTGAATTATTGAAAAATCGTCCTCAAATTTTCTGTATGACAGAAAGGTCTGATTAAGTTCACTAGCTGTATCAATTTGTATTTGAAGCAGTTGACGTACATGAGACATTTGACAAATAATAAAGTACTAATATAGGATAGGTATACATTATATTCTATTTTCATTGCTTTAAATAGATGCTTTTAAATTTACTTGACTATATTAAGTTAAATATATGCATGCACTTTATTTTTGGAATAAGCTATTTCCACTGTAGGTGAAACTAGTACATTAAGCTGCATTAAAATAGCTGTGAAGGGTAATTATATAATTCCATTTATATGACACTTCTTCTGTTGGTAGCAGAAGGTTTCACAAATCATTCACAAATTTGATAAGCATTTCATAGAAAACAATAATATATACACACATTTTGCAGTCTCGTGTGTGTGGAGCGGTTTGCCTGCTGCTGAAGCAGAAGCGCAGCTGAGGTGGCGCCCAGCAGCTGCTCACAAACAGCTGTGGGACATGACTGAACACTGTCGTGTCAGAATTGTACTTGAGGTGAAGGGGATGATCTGTGTGATGAGCAACACGATGATCCTGGATTTTGACATCTGCTGCTGCAGTAGCCCCGAACAAGCTGTCTTGGCAGTGACATACGTGGTCTGTTGAGAGAAGACCACAGCTTCATCCATACAGGAGAAAGAAGCTCTGCTCTTTTTGCCCCTTCACCCTCATCTCCCTCTGCTTCTGACAATCACGCAAAGTATAATTTACAGCACTATTTACATCTATTTACGTTTACTAATTATATTCCATTGAAGCTGCCAAGGAAAATTTGTCAGAAGAATGTAATTACTCAAAGCTGGAATTTGGCCAGCCAGTGAGATTAGTTCCCTTCCATTTTGGAAAAAAAAAGCACTATGGGATAGTATGGAGCTGAGTGCTTCAAGTGACAGCTGGGAACCAAGTCAACTCCCCAAGGTACTACCTGGGGCTTGGTATGTGCAGGTGGACATTGTGGAGGCATTCAGGCTRTCTGGAGCTCCAGGTTACTCTGGATCTGGGCTTCAGAGCCATGGCAGTCCTCCTCTGGAGGTGGGGCAGTCTGGTGGTCAGTGGCTATGGCAGGCTGGAACACGTCTGCTGGCTCTGGGATTTGCTCTGTGGTTGCTGCTTGCAGATGAAGGTGGGTTGTCCTGTCTAGGGTCCATGATTTGAACTGGAGAGCTGGCACTGGCAGCATCTCTCCTGTACAGTGGTATTAGTGGAAAACGAGGTGCCCTCTAAGTAAGCCAGAGCTTCCCCTCTGTTGGCCCCCAATTTCTAGGTTACAGCACCAAGATCACTTTGAGGAGAAGGTCATCTAGGGTTAGTTTTTGTAACCTCTAGTTTGCTCCATAGCCCAGCTTGGATCAAGATGCCGAATATATACTTGTACCAGTTAGGGTGACTTTTTAATTTTCATCTCATCTGGTCTTCTAAATGCATGGTATAATTGCTTTATTCTAGATCTCTTCATCAGCTGACCTCTGGGTTTACACATACCACTGTTGTGTGCAAAAGATCCTGCATTAGCACAACGATTACATTTGCCATGTAATTTCTTATATTACCAGCATTTTCTGTGTCTCATTGTGCTTTTTAGATAAAGAGATTGCACAACCTGCTAAAAGAAGCTTACAGGTTGACGTACCATGCTTGTAAATATGAAACTTATTTAGGGGACAGGATAAAATTCAACATTTAACCTACTCTGCCTGAAATTTGACATGAGCATATGATT